AAGTGGCGCTATGGCTCAAGTGGTAGAGCGCTAGCCTTGAGCTGAAGAGCTAAGGGACAGCGCCCAGGCCCAGAGTTCAGGCCCCACAACCGGACCCCCAAAAAAAAAACAAACAGAATTTGGGAGAATATTATTACAACTATTTTACAAATTACTGTTGTAATTATTGCTATTTTTATTTTGAAATAAATTTGGGCTGGGAAGGTGGCTCAATGGTAGAGTGCTTGACTTGCATGCATGAAGCCCTGAGTTTGATTCCTCAGCACCACATAAGCAGAAAAAGTCGAAAGTGGCTCAAGTGGTAGAGCACTAGCCTTGAGCTGAAGAGCTGAGGGACAGTGCCCAGGGCCTAGAGTCCGGGCCCCAGAACCAACAAAAAAATAAATTCATGTTTACAAAATGATTGTTCATTTGTTTGTTTTTTTTTGTTGGTTGTGTGGCCTGAACTCTGGGCCTGGGCGCTGTCCCTCACCCCTTCAGCTCAAGGCTAGCACTCTACCACTTGAGCCATAGCACCACTTCCAGCTTTTTCTGCTTATGTGGTGCTGAGGAACTGAACCGAGGGCCTCATGCATGCAAGGCAAGCGCTCTACCACTGAGCCACCTTCCCAGCCCCTACAAAATGATGGTTAACCAGGCATGGTGGTTCGGGCCTGTAATCCCAGCACCTGAGAGGCTCAGATAGGAGGATCATGAGTTTGAGGATATCTTGAGCAACATAGTGTGACCCTGTAAATTAGTTGGCGTTAGTGATGTGGCCAGCTAGGACTTACTGAGACGTCGAGTAGTCACCCCCAGTAGCCCCTCCTCTCCAGCACCCCAAGGCCTCTTTCTCTGCTGCCTCACAGCCTTCAGGCTCAGTGGCCACCTTGAGTGTGGGGGAAGCACAAATCAATGACTCAAGTTTCCTTCTCAGTGGCTCAGAGGCTTCACAGAGACCAGGATGGGCATATTTCTAACTATGAAAAATTAAAGCTGTGAGTTACTGTTTGTCCTTTTTTAAAAATCTTGAATCTTTATTCACAGTGGAAGAACTCAAAAACAATTAGTAGACTATGTCAAAGAGGGTGGAACGAAGAGAACTCCGTATGAAAGGTAAAGTACAAAGTACGCACTTGAATTAAAGTCATCACAGATTATGCAAACACCTCAGTGCTGGAACTCTTTTCAGTTCTTTAAAGAAAAAGGGTTGGTAATGTCTTCATGCAGATATTGCATGCATGCGCTATACTGATCTTACTTAGTAGTTTTACATAGTATGCTGAACTTTTAATCTGAAAATATGTGTGGGATTTTTCATTTAATGTCAGTTTGTGTTTTTACCTCTTTGTGGCCTTCATTTTAGTTTTTGTTGTTGTTGATTTTTGTTTGTGTTTTTGTGCTGCTGCTGGAGCTTGATTGAACTCAGGCCCCGGACATTGTCCCTTAGTTTTTTTGCTCAAGGCTAGTTCTCTACCATATGAGCCATAGCTCTACTTCCAGCTTTTTTGGTAGTGAATTTGGAGATATGAGTCTAATAGACTTTCCTGCTCAGGCTGACTTTGAAACATAATTCTCAGATCTCAGCCTCCTGAGTAACTAGGATTACAGGCATGAACCACCAGTGTCTGCTTCAGTGGTCTCTGTTTTATTTCTATTACTGTTCCCTGTTAGCCTGCCCATTTCTAGTACACCCCCTACCTCTGCAGCATTCTTGGGTGAGCTCTTTTTCATGGACACAGCACACACTTTCTTCTCTAGAAGCAGGTGTATAGAAAAGGAGGGGCTGGCTGTTGATACTTTTTCTGTTTTGTAGGCGGCACAGCAAGACCCGAACATCTTTCCGTGCTCTGGCTACAGACTTGCCCAAACAGGTTAGTCTTTTCTGGTTGAAATCATATGCAGAATTCATTACCTGTACTCTTAGAAATCATCTGCAGTTGTTACAACAACAACCTCCAAATTGGACATTCAGCAGTCCCAGTTCTGAGACTGTCTTCAAATCTGAGTCCTAAATGTTGTTCATAGTCCACTGGAGAACCCTGCGCACCCACCACCCCTTACCTACCCATTCAGAGTCATTACTTTGGGGAAGGGATCTTGTGTGCCACATGGACCTCAAACTTCAGATTCTCCTACCTTTACCTCCCAAGTACTGAGTTTACGAGGTGCACCACTATGCCTAGCGTGTATGACTGTCAAGAGCCTACCTGTAAAGAGTATGCGAAGCATGGAGACAGCCTTACTTTACGTGGCGCGTGTGTGGCATGGTGGCTCTTGTACTTAAAGCAAGGACACGCAGAAGGTTTGCAGCTACCCCAGTGAAGACCATGTGGAGGACTGCCCTAAACCCTGCGCTGAGATGTCAGTGGCCATTCTGCTCCAGTGCCTTCCACGACCTTCCACACAGGTGCAGGATTGTACCTAGAATCCTGTTGCTTTGTGGTAATCCTGTGCCATAAGAGCTGACTGGTGCTTCCCCATTCTCACGTTTACAGTTGTTATCTCCACAGGGTTTTTATATTAAGGTTGGCTGATGGTCTCTCACTTCCTGGAAGCTTCCAAATCTCTACTTTGACCTCTTTATTTCTTGTTTTGTTTCGTTTTGTTGACAGTATTGGGATTTGAATTCAGGGCTTCATGCTTGCTAGGTAGGCACTCGACTACTTGAGGCACTATGCCAGCTTTATCTCCTGTCTTAAGTCTCTAATGCTCAGAAGCACTTTTCTCTAGTAGATTGTTTCACTTTTGATATTCTGAGATAGAGTCCTCACTGTGTAGCCTCGGCTGACCTCAAACTTGCTGACCTCAAACTTCCCAGTGCTTGAATTATGGGCATATACCACAACACCCAGTAATAATGGGTCTTTTTCCCCCTGGTATTAAGGCTTGAATTCAGGGCCATATGCATTCACACAGCCTTTTTGCTCCTGGCTAGCACTTTACCACTTGCAGCATGCAAGTTTTCATCTCCTGACTTCAAATGAAAATTCTCAAGTCAGAACAACTAGGATTGGGGCTGGGAAGGTGGCTCAGTGGTAGAGTACTTGCCTTGTATACCAGAGGCCCTGGGTTCGATTCCTCGGCATCACATAAGCAAAAAGAAAAAAGCCGGAAGTGGCACTGTGGCTCAAGTGGTAGAGTGCTAGCCTTGAGCTGAAGAGCTGAGGGACAGCGCCCAAGCCCAGAGTTCAGGCCCCATGACCAGACCCCCCCACCCCAAATAAATAAATAAATTGTAAAGATGCTGTACAGAAATGTTACAATTACGTGAGTAAAGCAATGCGTACAATACTTGTTGATCATTGTTACCCCTTCCCTTGTTGTTGTCCCACTCTCCCCTCCCTCCCCCACTGAATCTGTGCCTTTGCATATGCAATCCCCAGTGTGGACAGGGTTAGAATACCCAGGGAAAAGTGCGCAACAGCCTGGCTGCTTCATTGCCCTCCAGTGCTCCTCACCCTGCCTTCAGGTGTGCCATTGAGGTGGACAATGTGCTTCCTGAGCAGTCCCCCTAAAGCTTTCTTTGCATGCATCAGTGGGCTACCTTGTGTCTCCACTCTTTGGAGGTAGTAAATCTCTGGATTTGTCATCTGATGTTGGCACTGTGGGTAGAATTGTAAACACCCAAATATATCAGCTTCAGAGCTTGGGGTGATGAGGAGTACTACAGAGACACAGTCAGCATGCCCCTGTTTACCATGATCTCCATGATGAAGGCTCACATATCGGGGGGAGGATGAGCTCACACGTGTGTGTGTGTGTGTGTGTGTGTGTGTGTGTGTGTGTGTGTGTGTGTGTGTGTGTGTGTGTGTGTGTGTGTGTGTGTGTGTGTGTGTGTGTGTGTGGCGTGAGCTCAGATCCTCAAGGCTAGCACTCTACCATTTGAGCCACACCTCCACTTCTGCCTTATTAAAGTTGTTTAATTGGAGGTAGGTGTCTCTCGTATTTGTCTGCCTGGGCTGGCTACCAACATGGAGCCTTAGTCCTTAGCCTCCTTAGTACAGCTAGGGTTATAGGTATGAGCTACTGACACCTACTTAGATATAGCTCTCTATAATGCGGACATTTCATGCCACAAGAGAAAAGAATGGAATTATAAGAGATTATAAACAGATGGCCCTGAGTTGGTGTGCAGTGCCACCTGCACTTACAAAAGTCTGGTCGGTTCCCTCTTTAGGAAAGCTGTGGGAAATATGTGGATGTCCTAAGTTGGGCTCAGTTCACTTTGAACCTTGGAATGGTGATTTTTTTTGTATTTATTTTGTGTGTGTGTGTGTTTTTATATACTCTGTATATTTGAACTCAGTATCTTGTGCTTCTTTAAGCAAGCACTTTACCACCTGAGTCACATCCCCAGTCTAGTGGTTTGTAATGTTATGTGTTCTTTTTCTCCTATTTTGATCTGCAGAGCATCTCATTCACCGAGGGCTTCAGGACTTCAGCCTCCTTGTCTTCAGCAAATGCCTCCTTTTACCCACTCTCCACCTCCCCTTTGGCTCCTCCTGGTCTGCCCAATTCCAAAGACAGCAGCTACTCCCTTGAAGATCCTCAGGCTGCCTACATCAAGAGTGCAGCAGCAGAGAGGAGCGGAGGAGCCGTGGCCGACAGCCCCAGCACTCAGTCAGCCTACCTCCCTGGACCCCCTGCGCTCCAGCCTGGTCCAGGTGTTGGGGTTTGTCATGTGATGAACAGCTGTGGTTCCATCTGTCCTAGGGGGCAGGGTCTTGGTGCTTTAAACCTAGAGCCAGGAAGGGCCAGTGGAAGAAAGGGTAGTGGTGAGGGTGGCTTCTCTACTGGGCCGTTCCTGTCCAGGGTGGAGTACCGGCGTGGCCAGCAGCATCGAGGGGAGGGCCCTGGTTTCACATTGACAAATGCACAGCTGCAGGTGTCTGAGGAGTTCATAGATGACGACCCAGCAGACATCTCTTTCTTTGCTGGAGGCTCTGAGGCATTTTCTTTCCCATATAGCTCTTTAGTCTCTCAGGATCCCCGGACACCTGCCCATCTCACGGTCTCACCTCCCTTGTGTGGTCCAGAAACCTTCCAGCACCCAGAGTCAGCCCAGTCCAGCCCTGACAGATACTCCACTGAGGCAGTGGACATGAGTGTAGAAGATGACTTTGAATTTGGGGAGGGAAGTGACTTCAATGGCAATGTGCAGCCCTCTAACACCTCAGAACTATTTGAGGTGAAGGCACAAGCCAGCCTCATGCAGAGCCTATTGAGCCCCTCTGAGACCAGTTCCCTTAGGAACAACCAGTCTGAGAACAGCTCCCTCAACAATATGCCACTGCATGGTGGACTGTCTCTGCTCATCTCCAGCTCAGCCAATCAGTCTGAGGCCAGCTCCATGGTTAACTTCCCAGCCTACTCAGTCCGCTCAGAGTCCAGCTCAGCCTTCCAGTTCTCTGATATCATTGACCAGTTAGAACAGCTCAGCTACCCGCCCACAACAGCTGAAGACTCCAGCAGCACAGACACAGACTCATGGGACTCTGAGGCTGAGGCTCCTCTGGACATGAGCCTTTTCTTCAGCAACCCTTTTGTACAGACAGGTGGAGAGAGAATCCCTTACAATTTGCAGGACACTTTAAAGTGTGCAGCTCCAGGAGAGCAGGTAGACAAAAACCCATCTTGACCACTGCAGACTCCTTTATAAGGAGATCCCCTCCCCTATCCATGTAGAGCTCAGAATCATTTGGTTTAGACATAGGAAGTGATTATGTATATACAATATAATCCATTTTTTTTAATTCCTGATTCATATTTTTTGAATGTCAAAGAATTAAAATTTCCACCTATAATAATGTTAACACTTATGCAACCAGTTTAGAGTAAACGAGCATTTCTACTATTCCTCCTGGTGGCTGATACATTGCCATCTGAAGGCTGAGGAATTAGCCTCTGTAGCTTTGGGTTGGGACATGTGCCTTTAATTCAAGTAAAAACTGGTGCTACACATTTTGAATGTTATACAGTTCTGATTTGTGTTGACTTTAATAGAATGTATGCAATTATGCCTGTTATGCTGCTTTGTAAGATGAGCCATGCCACTCCTACTCAGTTAGGATGTTTATCTGATTTGTCCAGCCAGGGAAACTGCAGGAAATCTCTCCATAATGCCTCTGCAGACCCCTTCTGAAAGGGGGTCCTTGAGACTGTCCCTGTGCCCGTCACTGACGAGCCGGAGGTAGTGCCGTGTGTAGGATGCGCTGCAGGAGCACTGCTCACGTGTGAGCTGTTCTTCTCCTTAGTACGTGTGATAGCCCGTAGATAATATGGTGGCGGTGATGTAGAACCAGACTCACAAACAGGCCAAAGTGCTTGGAAGCTATTTCTCCTACTTGTAGAACAAATTATTCGTTAAAAATTATAAGAACATAAGATGCCCAAAATGTGAGAAATCTTGGGTTCTTGTTCCTTATCTGGGAGAGGTGTCTCTGTCACATCAGATGTTTGCAGACACGATGATAGCTGTGTGCAGTGGATGCCCAAGGTAATGGAAGGCCCCTGATTGAAAATACTATATAAGTTGGGGCTGAGGTTCCTTAGCACCTACTGGATATGCCGCCAGTCAAGGTCAGGAAAAGTCTCTGCCATGCAGTCCAGAGCCCCACCAGGGTCCGCCCCAGGCCTGCCCTGGTCTGCACTGTTGAATTGGTTCCATCCACAGGTTGAGTAGTTTGGCAGGAGGAGAATATTGATGGTTTTCCTTCCTGATCTTATCTAGTAATGCAATACAGAAATAGTTTGATTTTCTTCCCAAAGTGTCCTACGGAAGCTTTTTCTCCATGCTGAGATGGGTCTAGCACATGTTAAGCAAGCAAGCACTGTGCCACTACTCCTCAGCTTTCCTGTGGAAGCTTTTCATCTCCAGCCATGTGAGAGACCTCTAGTTCTGAGTTGGAATGGATTTGCTGCCTCTGCCTTGCTGGAGTCTCGGTGAGCTGTGAGGTGTCATGAACATAGTGGTCTCTGGTTTCTTTTTGGTGTTATGCGGACAGTAGCAAAGGGTTTATGTGACATGCATCCTGTTATTTCTGTTTTTTGAGCTCCTTAAGCCGAAAGTCTCACTCTTCTTGTCTTTTGGCTAGTGCTTCCATGTCTTCCATTCTATCCTCTCATAGTGTTGGGCAGTCTTCTGAAGACTGCTAAGGCAGGATTGGTATCCTATCCTCCCTTCTGCCGTCTGTGAAGGCTCCTTTTGCTAGCATGGAGAGGCTGGTGGTGAACTTGGCACCTGTTTACAACAGGACTGGACAGGACAATTTATTCTTTCCCCCGTACCACTCCAGTAGTAAACCAATTAACATATCTGAAACATAACACATGGTAGCTAATGAAGATCTTGCCCTTCATTCATACTGCCTAGGCATTGACTGATGCAATGAAGGAACAGTTGTCTTTTTTTTTTAAGGAGCCCACCCTAGTGTCGAGTAGCAGGTATCTGGCTTTGGTACCAGATGAAGCTACTGCACTGGAAAGGGAGTGTTCCTTTCAATGGGCAGATCTCATGTGCCTTCTTGGAGACTGTGGGTCAATTCTCAGCCATCTTCTGGTAGGACTGTTATAAAATGGGTTTTGCTGTTCCTGTTTTCTGCTAGTGGAGCCTCACTTTCAGGAGATAATTGTTTAGTTAGGAAATATTCAAAATGTACAAAACAGGAGGGCTATAACAAGCCCCCACCCCCAAGTCAGCATTGCTGATACATGGCTGCCCTCTGCTTACCCCTCCTTCTCTTCTAAGTTCTGTTGCTGTCACTTTCCTTAGAAACCCTACATGTGTCTCTGACACGTTATATAGTCCCATTCACAGTCATACAAACTAATGGTTTGTTGGTATCCTCCAAGTCTGAGAACACACTTACATCACCTAGTTATCTTCAGAATGCCCGTTAAAACAGGGCATGGTGGCACATACCTGTAATCCTAGCAAGCTTAATAGGCAGAAGCAGGAAGGTGAAAAGTTGAAGGCCAGCCTGGGCTGTATAGTAAGACCCTGTCTCAAAAGCAATAAAACATCTGTTAGTGTCTGACTTGTTGGTAGTCGTGTGTGACCTGTGAGATACCTGTGCGTATCTGATTTGCTCGTGTTGGTGTGTGTGATACTTGCTAGGTTTCACTTAGAGCCCTCTTCCCAGCCGGTGCCTGGCGTGGGGGAGGCTAGACCAGGGGTCCTGCCCCCTCTTTGAAGCCTGGACTGGCTGCACTAAAGGTTGAACCGGCACTATGCCAGGAGGCACTTGAGGTCTGCTGCCGACACCTTACTGGCACTAATTTCCACAGTTTCTCTAAGAGAGCCCAGCATGGAGACCAGTGCTCTATGACTGGTACCGTGGAGGGTGAAGGCGGCCCTGGGCCCAGACACTGCGTTGCCACCACAGAGGCAGCACCCTAGAAAGGGCAGGGGAGAGTTCTGCCTGGTGGTGGCAGTGCTTGACAGAGCTGTTTGCCTCCTGATTGCATCCAGAGTCCTAAAGTAGGACTCTGCTGCCTTGACCGTGGCCTCTGCCCTCCCAGGAGGAGCTGGGCCATCAGAGTCTACATCCATGCTGACAGACAGACAGCCAGAGTTCGAGTGCAGATAGACGGGGCCACCAGCCAGTGATGACTTTTGACCTTCTTATGCCACTAACAGTATACTCCACTGCTGCAGGTAGAATGTTTATTTTTATTACTTGTCAAGTCTGTGGTTGCATTAAGTTTCCAAGTCTCAGTGTCTTATATAGGCCAATAGATGAATATTTCAAGTCTACCAACATAGTTATGTGTTAACAAGGTTGACTACACTAAAAATATGTGATGATATACACTTGTGATTTTTTTCTAAGCGTTAGGTGTTGATATATGCCTTTTTATATCACAGAGGCATTGTGTAAGTGGTACTATATTTAACCCCTTCTCTCCAGAGCAATCATGCCGGGCACTAGCACAAGAGCCGGGCACTAGCACCCAAAATAGTTTAAATATAGAAACCTTGACCCTAACGGTTAAGCCATTCCCATGATAGTTATTGTGCCAATTGCGATTTGGCCCTTTCTGATAGCTTTGGTGTGAAGGTACATTTTGATTTTCATTCAGGCTCCACGTTCTGCTGAGGAGGGGTCACAGTGCCGTGTACACGCTGGGGCCAGGACCGTGCAGGAACACACATAGCACACATGCCCTTAGCTGTGAGGTGCTTTACATGCCGCTCAACGCTGATGTGATCCGTACATGTTCAAGGTACACTTACGCCTTCCCATCTCATGAACATCAGAAAGAATCTAGCACTGGGAAGGCTGCTTTATGGTCAGAAACATCAGTCCTCTTGGAGCGGGGTGGGCTAGTGTTTGTTCTCACCACCACCTCACTTTGGCTTGTCCTGTAACCATGTGTGCTGTCAGGTGATGTTGCCACCATTGCCCATGCAGTAGGTGCACCCGGGTCCATAGTGTCAGACCCTTCCTTGTCTTTTATGGAAGTAACTGCATTCATCCCCTTAGGAAATGAAGAAAAACAAAGCTGGAATTTTTCTTACACATTCGCAATTTGTTTGCTCTTTAGAGACACATTTTGTTGTCTGGTTTGCAGTACTTAATTTTTTGTTTTCCATTGAAATTGCCATTTATAAACTTGCAGATATGTACTAATTAAGAGTTCCTAAGTTGTTTGTTCAATAAAA